AAAGAGAGGACCAGGGTTTATGTATAATCTATAATATTTGACATACATTAAAAAGAAAATGGTAGAGAACTATTTGGAACTTTAGGCCTGATGAAAATAGGCACTAGCCAATGAAGAAGACAAAAACCGATCTTATAGAAAATGAACTTTTACCTAATTATGTTCATGATTAAATGTCAGCTAAAACTTTAACATCAGTGCTGGTTTTTCAATAAGCATTAATCCACGTTTGCAATGCACGTTGTTTTCTCAATTGCGCATGCTCCCCACTAAAATAATAGAAGATCTTCCTAGACTGTTAATAAATCCAGGTGTCTAGTTGTTTGAGAACCCTAAGTCCATTTAATTTCCACCCTCATCTTGGGCAGCCTTGTCTAGGGAAGGATTGCACTTGCATTACATTCTTTCCATTTGCCTTCCTTCTTAAATCCTCTCATGCAGCCTGAAATAGAGATCAAGGCCTTATCGTTGCTAAGAAAATTACCAATGTGTAAGCTCCCTCTTTCACTTTTCTTTTTCAAGTTGGACCTTCGAGAAGCATTTTACTAATTATGGATTTCAGCGTGCTTTTTTTCTAACTCCAATCAATATGAGACAGAAGATTTGAAGGTGTTTATATGTGATGGAAAAAGCTCACTTGATAGAAGTAAAATTGGTGAACTTAGCTCTTTTATTTTATAATTCAGAAATGACAAGTGTTGTTAACATTTCTTTTGGGTACAAATGCCTAAAAATTTATTATTTTTGGGTATCCTGATTGAAAAACCGTCAAGAAAGTAGTACTGGGATTCAGACAGGTTCTGAAAAGCAAGTAATATTTGCCAATCATAACCTTGATTCGTTAAAAATATTGACCATGCAGAAGTTGGATGGATTTTTTTGGTTGTATTATTGCAAACGTGTTCCTTTTTTTTACTTTGCCTTGGAAACTATTCGGCTATAGGTTGTGGTAAACCCAGCAAAGCAACTATGCATGATGGTTTTGAGGTATGAGCTAGACTAGTGCGGAGAAAAACTTAAGTGAAATACCAGATCATGATGATTACAACCAGATGGTCTAATATTTCCTGAGATACTATTTGATTTCAGGAGCTTTACGATGCTTGTTGTTGTGTTTCTTCTTCTCAAGAGTACTCACACAGCAAGACAGGCAACAATGTTTTTTAAGATAGTAAAGGATGAAAAACAGTCATTTCAAAGAAAGAACAGAAATGAAGGCTAATCTCATAATCTATAGATGTTTTATATCTAAAAGGAACTAAGATTCTGACAGCCTTTGAGATTTGTCAATCTTTTTAATTTGATTTGATTGTTTAAAGTTTTTCAAACTTAAATGAATCAAACAAAGCTTCACATTTTTTTCATGTTGAGGTTCCACATGTAAATGGCTGATGCATAGAATGTCAGCTTCACGTTTTATTCAGAATTCATCTTTGATAAACAAAAACTTACTGTGCATTTTTATAAAGAAAAATTCGTTTCTCATTGCCATCTGACAAGCAACCAGCCTAAAATCCACAGCCTATATTAGTTAGTGTGATTCTTCCGCTCCGTCATTATGCTGCCAGTTACATTATGATTTATGATCATAGATACAAAACTACCGAGGTGAAATCAAGTTGCCTGTTACCTCCAAACTACATGAATTATTTATTTGGGTATAAAGCTTTCCTCCAGGAGTGATATTATGTTATTTCTTACAATAATCACACTAGCTAAGCGGCATAAACTGGCAACAGGCATTACTTTTGAGTGTCAAATACAAGGTCAAAGGCATTTTTTATTTATCTCAACTTGATTTGAAATCATTATAAGGCTCTTTATTGTATTTATTGATTCCAGCTTCTCATGTATAAATTAGAAACCCTCCTAATCATGGCAATGCCATCAAGCATTTGAAAAAATTGTTAGACTGCATGGTATTCCCAAGGTTATCATCCAAGGCTATCATCTCTGATGGAGAGGATTACATTGCATAGGGAGGTACAGATGGGGGAAATTTCACTTAATAGCACAACATTTCTTACTCAAATTGATGATCAGAGAGTGATTTAAAATTCAAATTTTGGAGTACTTATTGAGATTATGTATTTTAAATTTTGGTGAAGAATGAGAAGGTCACATTTCAATGATTGACTTTACTTATAAAAATGGTTATCTGTCTAGTATCAAAAGGGCATCTTATGAGGAAGTATATTCTAGTTAAAACTCCCTTAAGTTAAAGATTAATTAGTAAAATAAATATGCTCATGATAAAGATGGTGGGTGAAACTATTGAAAAGATAATAAAGGTTAAAGATAGCCTAAAAATAGCTCATGATAGATAGAGTAAATAGTTTGATTCAAAAGATAGAATGGTAAAGTTTTTGGTTGGGTATTTGTATATCCCAAAGTGAATCCAGTGAAGGGAGCGGTCTGATAATATAAGTTTAAATATAATTAAAATAGTTAATATTGCTTAAAGATAAATAATAATAGTATTATTATAAATTAATATCATTAGTGTTATTTAATCTTGTGTTAAGTACATGATTTCTTAAAAGAGGGCATGCGGCATATGCTAGCATAGGAAGTGAAAAAGAGTTAGCATAGTGACAAACTAAGAGAAAAGAGGGAAAAAGATTTTTGCATAGTGCTTTCAGAGCATTTGCCTAAGGAAAAAGAGTGAGGGAATTGTGGGACAGGAAAGGAGCTACAAAGCTTTGTATGCTTAAAGTAATTCATGGAACTATCGTAGAAAGCAATCATGTTTCTTTTGTATGCTTAAAGTAAATACTTTATATATTTATATATATACCAAAATAAGTAAACAAAATATATATATATATATAACGAAATAAGTAGGATAGCTAAATTTGATGGAATTTCCTTTTATTTTGCCTGCAAGTTTTATGCATGAAAACTATGAAAATGTTTCTACTACATATTATGGAACATGTTATGGATAATGTTTGCGTAACTTTTTATGAAGCAATTTATTATGTTTATGCTATCAACCAAACAATGTATTTTAACGTTAGGAAAATTACATGAAACATGCTACTTAAAGTGAATCCTTGCCTCTCTTATGAAACGTGCTGCACATTAGATGTGTTATGTGTTCATATATGTAGAACTAGATGATGCCACATCATTGAATGTAAAGAATAAATTGTGAGAACTCATTTAGGAAAATAAATGGCTATTTGTAAAGCTCTTGATATGCTTAAGAAATAACGCAAAGCTTGCTATATCAATATGTTGATATGCTATTTATGATAAAGCATGGAAAAGTATGGAGAGATGATGACATGAAGTAAAAATGAAAAATAAAGAATGAAAGTTGAACCCTATATTTTTAAGAATGTAGGAGAATGAGTTAAATGATTATGTTCTGAGCCCTGCCTAAACAAGAGAGCAAGCTACATGCTTGTGCTATAAAATGATCCATGGTATCAACAGAAGAGCTAACACGAGTTAGTAGTGCCCAAATATGATCCCCAATCTAGACAAGAGAGCTAGCAAAGTCATGTGCCAAATGATCCCTGTATATGAGAAGCATGCTCAAGAAATGACATAATAAGATGAAAAAGAGAGCTAAAATGGTCTACTACTTTTTATGAGAATGTAATGTTATTTTGTTGTTGCTAACATAAAATTCAATTAATGCAAATGCTTAATTATTTAATTATGTCGGATGAGAACATGGTATGGTTTAAATATTGTGAATGATTTACCATTAATATTTCTTTTAATGGAACCATTTGATATGCTAGTCCATGCATTACCTCTTGAGCTTTGTGCTCATTCCAATCATATAAAATCATTTTTTTAAGGCGTGGATAAGGGCAAATAAGCTTAGTGAGGTTTTGTAAGGGAAGGTGATAATGGAGATTTAATATTGACTCTAGGGTCTGTTTGGGATTACAACCTTTTGTAAAGGTGGTTGTAATGCTTTTGTGAGGAAATCAAGTTTTAAAAAGTTGTTGAGGGCTTTTTTTTTGTAAAAATTGGATATTAAAATTTTTACAACTCCACACACTAATAGAGTTGATTGTAAAAAGCAACTTTCAACTATAATAATTTATGAAAAGTAATAGCAAAATGAAAGTGTGGAAGTAGCAGAAAAGCAAGCAGTGATTAGTTTTTGATGTAATTGAAATCATGAATCATTGTAAAATAACATAAAACTATCATTGTAAGACTATTATGAAGTTAAAGGTGCTTGTTTTATCATTTTAAAATGATTAGTTCTGTATTACTATCTCCATGTTGATGCTAAGCAATTTATTAAATGGATTAATGATCATAAAACAATGAGTGTTGATAAATAACATGCCTATAATAGTTATGCTTGCCCATCTAGATGTTGTTTTAGGACAACTTATTACTCAAATAAAGGATTCGAAGGGTTAGTCCAGCTTAATACATAAGTCCATACAATCATTATTACATGGCACAAGATAACACACAAGATTCACAACAAAAGGCTCGAAACACATAAAGGTGCGACAACCCATAATACATCAGGTGACTCAATGAGGAGAACACACAAGGTTGGCAAAAGGAAAAGAATGAGAAAATGAAAATACAATCAGACATGTCCTAAGTACATATGAGAACTAACTCCAGGATGACGACGCCAAAAGCCGTTGTGATGCATGGACCAAGAAAGCATCTAGATGTTGTTTAGGACACAAATATTACTTCTAGAGAAATACAATCAAATATGATTGCAAACCAAAAAGTTGACATCTTCGAGTAATAATGACATAACATAACAATAATATATGTGAATCAAAATGCCCCTTAATCCCATCAAAGTATCAAACACTTCCAACAAGAAAAAATTGAGCTTTCTTGATGTAAAGAGAGTAGTAAAATTCGTAAAAAGAATTTTCGCAGCAATGCACTAACAGCTAAAAGTTCGGCCTTTTAATGGTGAAAATAACTATAATCGTTTCTCTAGACAGAAATAAAAGGGAGGATATTCAAGGGATAAGATTTGGGAAAGAACGTACCTTCTCCAGAAGACTAGGCCGGTTCGGGCCTGGAGCGTATTTGCATTTCTTTCTCCACTTTGGGTTTTTCGACGGCGAAGAAGGTAATAGATCCTTCACTGTCTTCTCCTTGGGTGCATCCTCTTTCTTCTGGGATGATCTCCGACGTTTACCGCGCCTGTATTTCTCTTTTCCGTTCATCTTCGCCGCGCCTTTCGTCATGCGGCACTCGTTGTCGACTCTAGCGCGGCAATTTACAGTGGAGACCTAAGTGCGGAATTAGGTAAGGGTATCTACATACATACCACTTATTTTATGTTATTTATATATCTAATACTTAAAACATTAATATTACATATTTATCATCCATTGACTAATTTTAAATGTATGAAATAAAATATTAAAGTTTTTATGATGATATGAATGATAGAAATAAATTATAGGAGTGATAAATTTGATATTAAAGTTATATTCAAGTTGATATTAAAATAAATGATAATATTTTTGGGGTAAGAAATTTTGAAGAGAGAAATAGAGGGATGAATCTAATCATACGAATTATATGTTAGATTTTATTTTTGTGTCCTCATCTTGCATGCATTTTCATGATCTTAGATGATTAGCTCAATTTTGTAAGCACTAAATATATTTCGATTTCATTTGGGACAATTTTCTTACTGCTTCTTAAAGCAATTTTTTATTAAAAAATTAAAAAATTTATACTAAAAAACTACTTTAAGAATTAGTAGAAAGCCGTTAAAATGAAACCTTAATGACGCAAATTAGACTTATGATTAATTGAATAGTTTTAATGGTTATTGAGAAGAATTTTCATTTAGTCATGTTTTATTATAGTTTTTTTCATAACAATATTTTACCTAGTCTATTTAAATAGTTTAGGTTGATTCAATCAAATAGTTTGAAAACCTTTGCATTTTTAAGGGGCTTAGTTTAATTATTATGATCCTCATTAAATGAGCAATTTTACTCATCATTTTGATGATAATTGTTTCTCAGGGATTCAAAGGCCTTACACATCACAAAGTAATGAGATTAAACAAATTTATAGAATAATCCATGTGCATAAAGCCATCTCACTCATAACATAAATTATCACACATTATGTCTGAAAGATATTACACGTTTATAACATGGAATATGATGAATAGATTGACTTCAACTTCTGGATTAATTATTATGTGCGGACAACGGACATCGTCAAGAGGCAAATAAGAGCACGCCACGTCACCTCTTTGTTGTGTATCGCAGTTGTGTACATGCTTTGCACTGAGTGACATGACGCGCTCTGATTCGCCTCCGGACACATAGCTATATTTGATGTCCGCACAGAATAATTGATAACCTTTAAAAGTCAATATCAATTAATTCTATTTTATACTCAAAAGAGGAAAGTTATTATAAGCAAAAAAAAGAAAAAAAAAAAGAGGCACATTTTATTATATGATAATAGTATAGTGAATGTCACCAGTCATGACATTTAAGTAATATATTGCATTGCATTAATGAAAGAATGTAATGCTTTTTAAAATAATTTGCATTATCATAATGCTTAAGATCATTTAGATGAAAATAGTAACCAATGCAATTTCACTCTAACATTCTCATGTACAACCACATTAGGTATAATCATATGCATATAAAGCTAACTCTCTAGTCCGTTACTATTTCTTTATACAAGCACATACTTAAACCAATGTGAGAAGTAGCGATCTATGAAAATTCAATAACTTTCAAAAGAGTAGTCACTATATATGTGCACCAAATTTTTAAAAGAGTGGTCACTATGTGCACTCGTTGGCCTGACTAATCTATATCTAAAAGTTTATAATCAATGATAGGTTTATACTAAAATATGATTGATTTGAATAATATTTGTAAACATTTGATGAATGGGAATAGGATGATGTCTGTTCTAAACAAGATTAAGATATTATATAAAAAAGTATTCTTTTTAAATAATAATTATCCTAAGGCTATAATATAACTAGTGTCATATATGGAACTTTTATTTGGTCAGGTGACTTGACGTAGTTCTACTTTCGGACGCCAGTAAAATTGTGCCATGTATTCTTACTCTTTACCGCGCGGCCTGACAGCCCGACCCAGAACGGCCCCGGGTTTGCTATGTTCGCGTATTGCTAGGTATTACTCGGTATTGCTAGGTATTGATCGATTTTGCTCGACAATAACGAGAAATACCATTATATGAAGACCAATACCGAGCAATACCGAGTTTTGCTAGGTATTGCTCGGTATTGATCTTCACAGAGTGATATTTTTCATTATTGCCAAGCAATACTGAGCAATATCTATCAATAACGAGCAATACCAAGAATACCGAGTAATACCTAGCAATACTCGAACATAGGAATCCGGTACTTTTAAGAGCAATTCGAGCATGCTCAATAACCAAAGTTAAAAAGAAAAGAAAAAGAAATAAAATAGGAGAAAGGGCCAAAGGGGGGCTTATTTGTTCAATTTTCATGCCCTCGCGCTCTCCAAATTCATATATTTATGGGCTCATAAGGCTCACTTAAGTTAAAGTGTTCTATTAATTAGTTATATTTAATTACTAATGAATTGCAATTAGGTTCGTATTTTTTTTCCCAAGCTCACAACAACCTTGTCCTCAATTTTGAACTTCTACAGTCAACACAATAGTTGCAGTGACTAATAACTTGGCTATATTTGCTCAAGTGAATCTTTTCTGTGTAGTAGCCTAACCCTTAAATTGCGAAAGAGGAAATTGATCAATGGAGAATTGACATATTTATCAAATTCATCCCTTGATTGCCATGAAAGTTATGATCGTCTTTTTAGCCAAACGTTGTGTGGATTAGCCTTGTGCAATTGTTGTGCTGCAACAACCTTTTGTATTAGTTGTTACATCTTGGGTCAGGAAGGCGAAACAAGCAGGTAAGGGCGGAATCAGCCTTAATTAGTTCTCAAGGGGGCAAACTTATTAAAAAAATAAATATATGAGATAAAATTCAAAAAGAACTCTTATATTGCATTATAATTATTAAATAACAAAATTACAAGTTTTTCATTCTATTTTTCATTTTATGATAGAAAGTAGCATCTTTTTGCTCTCTGTGAATTAAGATATTCATCAAATTATTTTGGATTTATGCGTACCATATGGGATAAAGTTAGGTCTGATTCATAAGTAGTCTTTCATTTTCAACTTTTTTTTTAAGCAACCGCCAAGAATGGCAGATTTAAAGTGGCTAAAATAGGATTATCCAACTTCATAAGAAACTGGAAGTTTCATCTTTAACTTTGGGTTCTTAAGCTGTTGAGTTCTTAAAGGGCGAGACATGTACACACGCTCATTCTTGCATTCATAAGTCCAATGACCAAACTGGAAGCATTTCTGTCACTGAGCGAAAGCACCCCTAAAAAAGAAATAGAAGACTTTAGATCCTTTATTTCACTCAATCACATAAGGCTTTAGACCCTATTATAAAACCTTTTTTTTTAAGCCCAACCCCCCCCCCCGGGCCCCACCGGGTTCCCCCCCTCGCACCCGGACCCAGATACGGCTGGGAGATGTGGG